CCCCAAAACCCCAAAACCCCATCAAGCTATGATTCTGCAAAAGTTGAGTTTAAGTTAATTTTTAATAAAATCAATCAATTATTCAAGTAATCATTGACAATTTGGAGCAAGTATGTCCATTAATAAAAAGCCAATGACAAAAATTTCTCGTATAATCAATGGCTTCTAATTTTTCTAGACCACAATCTTTCCTCATTTCTAGAAAAGTAGTCACGAATTCATTGCAAATTTCAGGGGCTACTTCGCTATTATTTATACTGCAAAATTCATGAATGTACATTACATCCTTGAAAGTAGCCATTCTAGCAGTTATATTTCTTTCTTCTAAAGTCTATTTAGCTTCTCTACACTAAGACTCAGCTAACTTTTACCATCCATTTTCATTCAAACATTCACGGTACAACATTATGAATCTGAGCATATTCTTGTAAAATAACTAGTTTGTTTTACTCGCAACATCTCTAAGATACAATCCAAATATTTCGTCTGAACTCAACATTACCCTCCATTCCTCACTCATTTAAGCAATGTGAATGCTTATTTGTTTGAAGTTTTGCTTTTTTATGATTGGCTTACTTTCTTAAATTTAAGCAGTGTTTTCATTCTATCCAGGTATGCTGTCATCTATAACCTACTCCTCTAAGTCTCCTCCAGGAGTTAGACTTTAAGAGTATTTTGCAAGAATTTCATGCAGTGGGTGATCTTTTGCACTAGGAATTTATTGAGAAATAAATTGTCTCTGTTATAAATCAAGGAATATCTCTTCAAATCCAAGAAGTGGTTCATTTGGACCTCCCCCTCTACCTTCAGATTTTAAGTATATTTCAGTAGTAGGATCTGCTCTTGAATACTCATTCTATAGGAAAATTTAATTAAGACTAATTTAATACAGGTCTTTTAGGTCTACCTCGTGATCTATGCTATTAATTAAAGAGACTCCCACTAGGATCTATCGCATGCTTATTTTTCATATGAGTATACATTGCTGGATAACTTAAATATGTTCGATCACAGACTTAGCATTTGAAATCTCGACCAGTCTATTCATTTCTTGATCTTCTCTTAATATCTCTCGATTATTATTCTGCTACACTCATACTCATCTCTTAGAAATTTGATATTATTAGTTTGTCCAAATAAGTTTAGTTTTTTTGTATATTTAAAGATTCTATTAATTTGTCAATTTATAAAGTAATATACTTATTATCATCTGCTGGGGTTTTGGGGTTTTGGGG